TTCAACTCTAGGACATGTAGTTGTCGGGAGTTTGATTATTTTAAAATTCCATGCTCTCATGCTATTGCCGGGGCGATGATGCGAAACATAAATCCGTACACTCTGTGTGACGAGGCATACACGACGAACTCCTGGGTAATGACTTATGCAGAACCAATATTTCCAATTGGCCACGTCTCAACGTGGAACAGTTCTCCAGATTTTGTCGATACACCGGTAGAAGCACTAGATATGGTTCCTAGAGTTGGCAGGAGGCGGACAGTTAGGATTCCTTCCACGGGCGAGGTGCGCCAAACACGTAAGTGCGGTCGGTGTGGTACATCGGGGCACAATCGCAAAACATGTAATGAACCCCTTAACACAGCGTGAATATATGATGTATAGGTAACTTGTTTTTTCGTAAATTTGTATGGTAACTTGTACCCCAAGCAACCAACCATGCATGCATGCATTGGTAACCCTATGTGTTATATTATTATTATCATTATTAATGGGGAGATTGTATTTGAATGTGTCATTCATGTATGATGCTAGAATAATGAACTATGACATAGAAACAATATCGAAAATGCATACTATTCAAAAAATGGGACGACGCGCCCACATCTGTACAGCGTACTGACGCCTAAAATATACAATATTATCTTGGGTTAAAATGTCCATATTTGACCCGGTGGCATCGTACTCGAAATACCAGACACAGAAAATCCCGCAATCAGTCGCGCTACTCTGCTGTGGTATGCGAACCCGACGCACCCTCCACGGCACCACTGGCAAGTCGGGTCAAACTGAAAATATCCCGCAATGATGCAGCAGCGCAGGTAGGATTGTACACATGGGCTTCAACTCCTTCTCAAGTTCATCAAGTGGAGTGACCGTTTGGAGTGAATCCCATACGGTTATGTCGCCCTGTACAAGGTCGATGCCGAGCATCACCCAGTGGTTCCCGCCTACGTTCATGGGGTGTACACGATGTCTGCATCACTCCAGGGCACGTTGTGGTCCGACTGCCTACCGTGTACATATCGCCAGATTGTATTCTCCTCGTGCTAGGGGTAGTTGATCCTAGTGGACAATACACCCGGCTTCATGGCCGCATATGGACCGTCTGTCCGATTCAGCAGAGTCTGTATAGCAGTTAAAAAGTAATTCATTAGTTAAAGAATTGTTCAAAACAACATTTATTAGTTCGAACCGGAAGAAGTAAAAAGTAATTATCGAAAGAAGTACGTCGCCTATCACAAACTTGTTGCGACATAGATGGAGACACTTCTCCAACTTTTTCGCTGTAAACAGGACGAGACCATCAAGTACCTGTTACATTTAACCAATCCACATTGATGTAATCAAACATATTGACGAATATAGTACTACGAATATAGTAACATGTACTTACTTCGTCCTTCAATTGAACACTAGGGTCCAATAGATCGCGATACCATTCCTTCTTTTGGAAACCAGTTGCAGTGGACCGCAATCTCTCGTCCGTCTTCGGGTCATCCATCCATCTCTGGAACTTATCGTCCAACTGCGGTGGAATGGGACATACTGGGTCGTATCCATCCACGGTGATCCCACGCTGACCGGTTGGTGTGTATATATCAAGTTTGAATAATCCTGGTCCGGGATTCTGCCATCCCGGGCCTACTCCTGAAATTTTACTTTTTTTTAGTTCTTCCCTACCAAGAAACGTCAAAATCGCATTTGGTAAACTAAATTTAGGGTGCAAGATCTTTCCCTATGTTGGATTTGGTTTAGTGAGGATTTTGTTAGTTATGGGAGAATTTTTCGTTGGCTGTATTGTGTCTTCCATTTGAAGAATGTTAGAGATTTTTTGAGGTCTTGATGGAAGGATATTTTTGTAATTTCACGATAGCAAAAAATGAAAATGAGTCAAAAATTAAAATTAAAGGGTCACAAATAAAGGTTTTTTTAAAAAGGGGTCACAAATCCGAATCAATTATAAAATAAGGTCAAAAACTCTAATTTCCCAATAATTTTACATTTATTTAATTTAATTTTTACAAAAATTTTAATTATTTAATATAAATTGGTAAATTTAGCATTAATTAAATGTATGACCAAATAAATTAGATTATTCTGATTCTAAAATAATTTTAATAAATACAATATTAAAATTTTGATTTTGTTTGTATACTTCAATAAATTCAATAGAGTGAAACTAAATTGTCTCATGGTAGGTCAGGAGCATAATTTAGCGATATCGTTGTGAGTTTAAAAAAGAAAACTCCTGATAGAGCTTTTCCACTTCGAGATCGTTTGCAAGATAAAGCACCTCTTCAATTATTAAGTCCATCTTTGTCAGGTCACTCTCAATCTTATTGAGGAGTTAGCTAATTTCTAGCCAACTAAATTCCACTTGTATTATTAAAAATCTTTCGTCAACTTCTACCTTCACGATTGAAAAAGAAAACTATATAACCGTGCACAATGAACAAATATAATCGTAGCGCTTATCGAAATAACTCCAACAATCAAGTCGATGTATGATAATCAATAAAGAAGATCAGAACTCAGATCAAATTTAGTGGTTACATATCAAAAGGCTTTTCCCTCTCCATCCATCAACATTTTCATCCCAAAATCCATTTAACATGATAATCCTCTCAAAGAGCAAACATGGCAGATGAAGCCCTCTCTCTATAACATAACCCTACTCCTAACACTAAAATGTTGGAGAATCAACTTTACAAATCCTGCTTTTTGCAGATCAATTTTCAAATCAGAACCAAGAAATTAGAAATGAAGCCCCACCAAACAGCCTGAGCCTCTCGACCTTCCACTGTAAGAGGCATGAGCACAGTCAATGTCTTCTTCAGCAAGAATCTTCGAAACTCAGAAACACATCGACAGACGCTTTCCTGGAAACGAGCATGGAACAGTGCTCAAGAGTTCTCTACAACAAAGGAAATGAAAATAAAAAGGAAATAGGAAGCAGCTGGCGGCTCTCATTTTACATGGAAATGAATACTTCCCATTCTCTAGAGAAGAGAAATTTGTTTTAAACTTTGGAGGAATCAGATTGCCTGCTCCACCTCTTTCATACACTAACCTGCATTTTTCTTGTTCAAATCTCTAGGTGATTTTCTAAGTATCATTGTTTCTCTCTCAATGCCGTTCTTGCCATGTTTCTTCGGAGTGTTTATTCCTTCATCTGTATGAATCGTGCTGCCTTCCTTCTGTGTCGATAGGCCCTTCTGACTTGCATCTTTACTTCCATCCTTCTGTGTCGATAGGCCCTTTTGACTTGCATCTTTACTTCCATCATCTTCAGGCACTGTGTTTACCTGAGCGCCATTTTCGGACGGGTGTGACTTTCTTGGAGATCTTCGTAGAATCAAATCCTCACTTCTTGGAATACTCTTCTTTGGGTTACTCTTCTTCTGAACATTTGCAGCCGGATTATTTTCAAAGCTTGTCACTTCTACTTCCGTTTCATTGGATTTACGATCATCAGTCTCTCCATTGACATTATTAAGATCATCATGGTCATTAATATTGGCTGGTAGAGCGGAAGGATCTAATTCGAATGATCCTTTTGGAACACCTTTTCTTTCCTTCCCAGTCATTCTAAATGAAGGAATTTGATGAGAAAATCTGTACAAATGTTTAGGTGGAATCTGAAAGGAGCTGAGCTTATGCTCCTCAGTAGTCTGAAACAAGCAGACAAACCCTTGGACCTTGTCCATGTAAGCAACCGAGATGCCAGCATCCTCGACAAAATCTGACAAGATTTCAACAAATTCATATTCAAAACTTGCATGGTTTTCTGGGTCAGAGCTCCATCTAATATCCCAGTTCTTAAAAAGAGCCCAAGTTTCTCCTTTTCTTGGATACATCAAATAAGCACGCCTCGGTCCACGTTTCGGGCAATGTATCAAATGAGAGAACATGGGAAGATCAACAGTTTCCTCGGTGCCTCCTAGTGTATACTTGCCACATGCAACTGGCAATTCTGCATCGCACCAATCAATTTCATCTTTGTCATCGGGATCTGGTTCAAACCAAGTAATCTGGAGCTTGAATTCAGGGGAGAACACTTTTTTAATGCGGGCATAAAATCTTGGCATGCCACATGTGGAATCATATATAGCCCATACCTGATTAACAGCAAAACAATTTTCCCCCTTATACTGATCAAAATCACTAAATTCAGGATCATCACACACCAAAACATGTACTTCTTTCACATTGCTTCTCTCCGCATCAACATCCTCAACTTCAGATTTTTTGTCATTTTTATCTGATATGTTTGTTCCTTCTCTCATTACCTTCAATTTCTCATATTTAGGATTTGTGTTAGGCAACACTTCCGAATGGGGAGCAGGTACTTCTAACTTGATGTCCTTTTTATGACCATCAACAGTATCATGAAGAACCGAAGAGTTGCCAACTTTGGATGCTGCAGCATCTGAAGTAGCATCTTTCATTTTCTCTTTCAAGTCAGTGGATGACACACCGCCCCTAGACTTCTTTGGACTCTGTAAATTATCATCATCATCACTTAAATATTTCATGTAGGAAACATGCTTCTTGTTCCTTGAAGATCTCCTTTGACAATTGTTTCTGCTCAGGCTGGGCTCCTCAGATATACTGTCATCTTCATCTTCTATGGAATTTTCAGAGTTGTTGGCTGACTTACGTTGTCTCTTCTTATTTTCACTCTTAGGCACTCCTTTTTTCATGCCCGTTGCTGCATCAGACCTGGAATTTTCTTTCCCATTCATCTCTGCATCTGATTTAGGCTTAACACCATTGCTTTGTCCATATTTCACATCCCCATCTGCCTTCTGTTTTTTTCCAGATTTAGCTTTCAAATCATTCCCAGCAGTGTTACTTGCGCTTGGCACTCGATCAACTCTGGCAGAACTATCCTGGGATTTCTTATCAGAACAACGTTTGCTTTGTGCAGCAGATTTTGAAGGTCCTGACTCAGGAGCTACTTTCTTCTGAGGGACATGACCTTGGTGGAATGTTGGAGGCCCAGTTGGGTTATTCAGATCATGAGAGATGAAGCCTCTACCACAATTCTGGCAACGCAACATCTTGTTTAGATAACATTTTAGATACTGATACCTCACATTACAAAATGGGCAGCAAGTCCAGAAAGCCTGCATTTGTGGTGGTTTAAAAGAATTACTCCCAGGGAAATTTGAGTAAGGAACATTCGAGAAACCATTCGCAGTTGCACTGGCTTGCTTGTTGACAGTTGCATATCCATTTGGCTGATCATGAGATGGCTTGGAAGGTGCAATATTTCTTCTTGCAACTCCATACTTCATGTCATATAACCTTCGTTTTGACTTATCAGAAAGCAATCTATTGGCTTCACCAACTAGTTTGAAAGCTGCTTCTGCACCAGCAAACTTGTTCTTATCTGGGTGCAGTAACAATGCAAGCTTCCTGTATTGCTTTTTTATAGTTGTTTCATCTGCTGATTGTTCAATCTGAAGAATCCCATACCAGTCATTTTCAGATCCATATATTCTATTCTGTGCTGAACAGTGAATCTCACATACTGTTAGCAATTGAGTAATGTTTTCAAGGGTAGGAAAGAGTCTATGTGCTGTCTGAGCCATCTTCCTCGCCCCAATATAATCACTGTTTTCCAGCTTCTTCTCAGCAATTTGCATAGCCTTGACGGCCTCTTCCTTGTTGCACTCCATTACTACCACGTTCAAGTATTAACCATTTAAATTTTCAAACACAGAACAAGCTGTAATAACATATTTTTCTACTCATGCTGCTGACAGTCCATCAATATCAAATGAAGATAGTTTCAACCTGCATTAATGTAAGATAGTAAACTTAAAATAACATTCCCCAAAGCCTTTTGAGAGCAGTTCATCATTTGATGTGAAGACATAAATCAAGTTTTGATTGGAAAAAGAATCTCACCAGCATAGCGAAGTGAATCAGTTGAATAAGCAAATGGAGTGTTAATGGCGTGCTAGCATCTTAATCAAAGGGGTTGGAGCTACAACGTCCATGAGAGCAAAGAATCTAAATGCGTCAATTCCATATCTGCAATAATAAGTCCAAATACAAACAATCAGAACCAACAGGTGAGTGGAAAATAAATGGGCAAAAAAATAAATAAACGCCAAAATAAAATTTGGAAGTCCAAAACAATCACAAGCATTATCTTTTTCATATTGGTTCTTTACTTATTCCTTAAGAATGTAAGTTTCTTCTTTTCATCCCCTCATTTCTATAAATTCAAAATTAACTTGCCGAAGAATATTCACAGCCAATATCTAATTGGATTAAAGATGCTCCTCAGCAGACCATGGGCACAAGTTTCTAAACTGAGTCTCGCTCCTTGAGAAGATTATATTTCTATTAGAAGATTACTGTTTAAAAATCTATCAAATTGGTGAGAACCATGTAGATATACAGTCTACCCCACACCACAATGCACAGCCCCCACGCATATTCGAGACACATGTCTCTACACTCATCATTCACAATGACATCTCAGTTCTGCCCATTAAAACCAAAAAAGCTAAAGAGCTTAACTCTTACAGTGACCAAAACCTCTTATTCAAAGGGGTTTGTAAATAGATCTCAGAGGGCTATTATGCATTAATGTATCTATCTTTTTTGAACAGGATACGAGGCTTTATAGTGTCTTCTTTCAACAATAGAGAGTCCAAAATTATAGCAAATACCTAAAATTTGAAATTATCATCACCATCATTCCCATGTTCTCCATCATTAGACCTATAGCCCTCTACATCTTCCTCCTTAGTCTCATTTTCATGTTCATATACATCTATTGAAAAAAGTGCTTCAAGTGAGAAAGTCGAATGGAGTCAAGGAGACAAACGAATAACTCTTTGTTTATGATTTCCTTCTTTTTTTTTTTTAACCCTAGTTGCCACTGCCTAAGCATGTTGCACCTATCTGCAAGGTGCGCTTGGGCACATACTTTTTAGAGGTTCTTAAAACAATGGAAAGCAAAGAGAAAATTTGTATTTTAAACTCTCACCACATCACCTCAACTAATAGCAAATCACTTCATAAAAGACCCACCAACCATTAAATTTCAACCCTAATTACCCGTTGAAATCCAAATCAACCTTCCATCAGCATGATGTAAGCATTAGTATAAAAGTTCATCATAACATCAATTTTTTTCTTTTAGTAGTCATAATTTTTCTAGAGCTCTCTTTTACATTTTGTTTTCCCCGCAGTTACCAGCATACAAACTAATGGCTTCCTTTATTGACCATAAAGGAAATCCCAAACTAGATCAGTTTTGCAAGATGATAACCATCCTAGTATTAATGTATACTTTCTCGCTTTCCAATAAGAAATGAAAGAGAAAAAGGACTGACAAAAAACAGTAACATTGGCAATTATAACTAATCTGTGTGTGTGTGAGAGAGAGAGAGAGTCACACACACAATGAACAGATATTATTTCTTCACGAGATCCTAGATTTGGTTGGCAGGCAATACAGAACCATAGCAACTGAAGTAATCATATACTTCATTTCCGCCTTTCATTTTACAGTAGAAAACAGAGCCGCAACTCATGGTAACGTGAGACAAAAAGGAAGCAGGACTGATCCGAGACCAAATAAACCTTCAACAGCTGATACAGTAATATTTTCTACAGCATTATTCTACTCCCCCATTAACCAAAATAACATCAGAATTCAGCAGTGAACAAAACACCATCAAAAGCTCAACTTCTTACAGTGACGAAAACAACTAAAAGGCACAACAAATTTATGAAATTAGCATGAAGAAACACGAAAAACCCCGCGAGTCGGCAACCCAAGAGCAGAGCGGGCATAAACACAAGCAAAGATATTTAAAAAAAATTAACAAACAGAAGTCCCAAATGAGAAGAGAATACAGAAAAACAAGAGAATAAACAAATGAAGCAAGAAGAAGAGGGATTTACTTGGGGAAAAATATGAGGAAATGAGAGGAAAACCCTAGAACTGAACCCAGAAGCAGGAAGAGAGAAACGAGGGACTTACCGAGAGTTGAAAATTCCATGGGCAGTGGGAGAGAGAGAGAGAAGAGAGAGGAGAGGGAAAGTGCCGCGGGAAAAGCGAAAATTTTTGGGGGGAAGAAGGGAAGTTAAATAAGCCCCCACTCCAGTTTTTGAGTTCTCTCTGTGGAATTCGGCTGCGTGGTTTTTTCTGTCTTCGACCTCAAAAAAAAAGTGTTCAATTTTTTCATTCCTCCCCCGCTTTTATACCGAGCTTTTCGCATGACCAACCCCAATTTAGAAATATTCCGATTAAATTACAAGTCTAGTCCCTAAATTTTTTAATATTTATAAACTTTAGCAACAGTAAGGTTCGAATTCACAACTTTCTAATCATTAGACATAAGTGCTTTAATCAATTGAGCTAGACTCAGATTTAGAAAGTACCTAATATGCCTATATGTTCTATGTCTCGTTCTGCCTATGAGTCTTTGTACTTTAAGAGTGTCTGATAGGTATATGAACTTTCAATTTTATGTCTAATCGGTCTTTGATCTATTCAACATTTTTAAACTTCACAGATCTATTAGATACAAACATGAAAGGTTATAGTCTTATTATACACAAAATTTAATTTTATGTTTAATAGATTCGTTAATTTTAAAAAGAACAGATTAGGGGTGTGTTTGAGAGTGATGATAGAATGAGTGATTTTGAAAAAAGAGATCAAAGTATGATTGATTTTCCAAAATCATCATCTAAGTGATACTTTAAAAATCAATTTTAAGTAATTTTAAGCTTTCCTAAAATCAATTTTTTAATTTGCCAAACATGATCAATAAAAAATTGAGTGATTTTGACCTCTCAAACACATCCTGGGTCAAGATTCTATCAAACATAAATTGAAAGTTCAATGATTTATTAGACACTTTAAAAGTTTAAGAACCTACTAAATACAAAATGGAAAATTTATAGATTTATTAGACACTTTTCTAATCGAAAGTTCCAAGAATAAACTTGCAATTTAACCATATATTTTCCATGTTCTCGAATCATATTTATTTAGAGTAATAATAAATATGGAATATAACAAATATAGTAAGAAAATAAGAAATATTTAATTAATATTTTATATTAGATTGCAGGTACCATTCATGTCATTATTTTGACACGCTCATAATATTTGGATAGTCAAGGTGGTATTATTTGTGTGAGATACTCATATTCATATTGGATGTTGAAGATCATATTATTTGCGTGAGATTCTCATACCATAAGCTAGCTTTCAATGTGCCAGGATCTAACGGCTTATTAAGTAGGAGTGATCATCATTTGGTCAGTATTGATTTAGCGTTCATATCGATCAGGCTGTTTTTACTTTGATATGCATCGACAAACCAACCTCGATTAGTCAGATTCGACCACCATTATATATAAAAAGAAAATTAATTTTCTATTTCTAACTTGTTTTTTTAATAATTTTATCATTATTTTTTCCAAAAATTCAACTTTCAACTATTAAATTTAATTACTAATTCATATTGTAATTAAAATTATTTTATATTTTTTGATTTTTAAACGGTAAATCCTTAAATTTTATGGTATTTTTTATTCATTTCGTTTTTATTTTTGCTTTTGTTTTTCATGGACTTTGAGTTGCAGTAAATTTGTCAAAGTGGATAAATAAACAATATTCCTTTTATTTGAGATATTCTTAATTAATTTTTTTTTGGGGGAAAATCTAAAAAGTTTAAACCAACTAATCAATCAAATAAAATCATACTGTTTTGTTTCTTTTTAGGATTGATTAATTAATTAAATCAAATTATTTTATCGTTGTTTCCATTTGATAAATTATCTCATTTCACTTGACTCACTCTCCTTACGAGGGCACTCCTCGATCAAGTTAACCTTCTCCCTTGGATTCACTTATGATTGTGAGGGTAATCTTCCAGAATTTTGAGCTTCCAATTTACTAACTGATGTAGCCATTTGAGTAATTTGATTGTCCAAATTATGCATGTCGGCCCTTGCTTTTTTGTTGAAATTGGATAGTACTGTTAGCAAGATTCTTAACAATATTTTTTAGAGACATACTTGCGTGATATCTTCTAGAGACATACCTGCATTTTGTGTAGGAGGTGGAGGAGGTCTATTCAAGTTTTGAAGGGGCGATCTTTGTAGTCTTCCCTGATTTCCATAGCTAAGGTTTGAGTGATATTTCCATCTAGGGTTGTGATAATTGGAGTCGTGGTCATACTTTCGTTGAGGTGGACCAGAAAAATCTGCATATAAAGCTGGGAATATGAACATGTAGGATGTCATTGCAGTAAGTACATTCCACTTGCTCGTTGTGTTTGCAATTGCCCTATAGTTATTTGACAGACCAAGGTAGTTAGAATAGAAATTTAATCTTTAAGTTCAATTACCTTGTTGACGTATTTAAAGCTCATCCTCTTTTACATCTAAATTGTTGAAAGTTTTCAACCATGTTTGAAATAAGTTGCTTGGTTGCTTCAGGTGTCTTGCCTACCAAATCTCCTTCATTGGTTGCATAAATCATACTCATATCCATTGGCAATGGTCCTTCGTATAAATATTGGATGAGGCGTTGATTTGAAATTTGATGGTGAGGCAAACTAGCCACTAGTAGAAATTCGGTTTATTGTGACGTTTTTTTAACATCACAAAAATCTTTCGTGACGTTTTTAACGCCTTCACGTATACGCCCATCACGAAAGGTATACGAGACGTTTAAAAAACGTCACAAAAATTAGCAGACGTGACGTTTAATTACTGTCATGAGATACATGGACTTCCACGGCGTTTATAAAACGTCATGAAAAATGATTTCGTGACGGTGATACAACGTCACGGAAAGACCTTGATTAGGAAGGAAAGGTCACGTGACATTCTTCCATGACATTTTTTTAACGTCACGAAAAAGATTTTCCGTGACGGTCAAAAAACGTCCTTAAAACAATTTTTTTGACGTTTTTTAAATGTCATTAATGATTTCATTTTGTGACAATAAAAAAAGAGTCACAGAAAATGTATTTAATTTTGATTTCAGATGCCGCATAATATAGTCAAATTGTCGATTGAACACACAAATATATTAATTTAGATAACAAAGTTGAAATATATTAAACATGAACAAAGAAGCTAATATATTAAACTAGAATATACTAGTATTCTCAAACACAAATTACAGAATTGCAAAATTAAACATGTTCCCTACACACCAACCCCAACAACGAAGCTCCTCCATCATTTAGTTGCATTCCTAATTGTCAATGTCTTTGGGATCGTGAAAGACCTAATGAAAAAACAATACCTAAGTTAGATAAATGAATAACGAAAGATAGATAAGGTAAGAAAGTCACTTTCTAAAAAACGTATCTATCTATTAAAAATTGCAAAGGATTGTGATATTTGCAAATAACATTCTTTAATAAACACACTAGAAGCCTATCAAAACGTCACAGAATTGATTAAACAAAAGCCAACCTATGTACACTTCTTCTACAGCCTTTAGTAACATCACATAATATTTAAAAATTTTAAAAAGTATCACAATGATTGAAAACGTACATTAATCTTCTACAACACTACAAATCATCAACATTTATAGTCTTCCTTATCAACTTACTCGATAATCTAATAAAACAACCAACATAACGACCAAACAGAAGAAGCGCGATTAAAATAAACGACATGCCTACACTTTTTCTACATTCTTAAATTACATAGCACAAAATATTAGTACAATCATCCCGTAACGAAAGTATCAATTAAGTATTCATAAAACTCTTGTGAACTTACACAATAATATGATATGATAACCAACAAAATTACCAAACAAAGTTCCAAACATAACAGAATAGGTTACAATAACAAAAGAACCGAACACTTGTTCTATATCCTTTAGCAGCATAGCACAATGTGTTCTATATCCTCTACTGATACAAGGCTACTGATATTTGAAGAATACATTTCCGGTACTTTAATTTTAGATAAAGTCGTACACATGATAACTCTCCAAAAAAGAGTTATTCTAGTCTTCATTTGGGTAGTTTTATACAAGGAATTGTCAAAGTGTGATGGTTTTGGTGTGCAATTAGCATAGAAAAGAGTAAAAAATGGAATCTGAGCTAAAAGCCCCAAGTCTTGAGTGTTGTAGCTAAATATTGCACTAAATGCTCTTATTTCTGGTGTAAATGCATAGGTTTGGAAACAAAAGACTAAGCATAAATGAAGTGCAAAAACCCATAGAAGAGTGGGCAAGAATTTCGAGGCAGAGCAAATAAATGCTGGATCAAAGCAGAGCTAGAGCATTGATTCACTACGCAGTAACAGCCTAGACACGGGATTTACAGTGTCTGTACAACTTTCAACTGGGTGCCCTAATTTTGAAGCCCGATATAAAAGGGGCGTGTCACCCTAGCCGCCACACACAGATCCCAAGAGGAGCACGATTTTGAGAGCTGAAAAGACAAAAGGAAGATTATCTCCATTTTTGGGAGAGCAAGCTGACAACAGAAAAGAGATATTCTGCTGCAATTTCCAGCTGATAACTTCTTCTTGGTTTTCTACTGTCTCCCTAAGATGAGGTTGTTCCATTCTTCTACCCGTTTTAACTTCTTCTTCATTTATGAGCTAAACCCCATTTCAGGGGAGTCTCTCATGTTGTAACTGTTGTAAACTGAACCTCTCACTACTTTACTTGTTTTTAAATGAAGTTGTTTATATTTCTTCAATCTTGCGTGACATTGTTGGCTGCCATGTCGTGTTTTTTGGCGTTTTTATTGACGTGAAAGGGCTTATGGATGCTGACTTGCTTCATTTGGGATTAGTACTTTTTTATAGTAATTGTGGATTTTCAGGAATGAGATCCCCTAATTTTGCCTAAAGCTTGTTTTACTATTTGGGAACTTAGCAACGGGAGTTATGGGTTTTCATGTTCGGGTGTCTCGGAAGGGAATCATGTCGAGTTGGGCATTAACAAGCATTTGTTAGTTAGAGGGTAGGTTGATAGGCTGTGAATGCATGTGAAACTCCCCCACTTTCCCATATCTGTATTCTCTCTGTTTTCGTACTCTGTGCTAATTCTTCTGCTTGTTATCAGCTTTACAAAGTGTGTCTGCTGTTGTGTTTTGTTTACTGCTTTGTTTATTTTATGTTTGTTTGTTCAAGCCACGAAAAACCTTCTATAC